TAGGGATTCAAAGAGGAAAAAACCAAGGTCTTATTTACTTTGCTGGATGCCATTCCTGAGGTGTCTCCCAAGAAAATGCCTGCATCAGTGAGTCATCAAAATGCAAATGACCCACCTGAGGCAGGTAGGCCACAGGAAGCTCTTGTGTCCTGAGACTGTACACCTTCACTCACGGAAGGAGTCTGCATGTCCATGGAGGGCAAGATCCAATAACAGCTATTTGGTTCAACTCCAGAGGTCATCTAGCATTTTCACAGGAACCATATTGCAAGTGCAATGACTAAGGTCAAGGCCTTCCATCAAATCCTTACCACCTAAGTACTAGGGAGGTCGTGCACAACATGGTGCCTGCAGTTAACACTCTTCTATGACACATATGAAAGTCAGAGTAAATCCCTAATTCTCATTACAGAGAAAATTTTGTTCTTTTTTGCTTTTTATTTATTCTGTATATGAGACAACGAATGTTCACTAAACTTACGGTGGTAATCATTTCACAATATATGTAAATCAAACCATTCTGCTGTACCTTAGACTTATACAGTAATGTATGTAAATTACATCTCAATAAAACTGGGAGGAAATCCTCATCACTACAGAGGACGGGAAAGAGGTAATATGGGGGGTGGGGAGAGTACAGATGGTTTGCCAGAGAGGCTCCAGCTTCTCCATTTAGGTTTGGGGAGAGAAAACACCCACAGGGTTGAGGGGATGGTAGTACCTTGAGAGAGGGAATGGTGTGGAGCTGAGGAGACTGCTCACCCACATGAACCCTCAGTCACGCTCCTGCCAGGCCCAATGAACGTGCATGGAATTAAATGCCAAGGAGGGACACTGATATCAGTGTTGGTTTGAACGTTTCATTCCGTGGGCATGTAAGAGAGTGGCGACAATGCCATCGACCAGGCGAAGGTTGGAAACTGGGCCGTGTCACTTAGTAGAGTGGTAAAATATTTAACCAAATGCATCATCTCATCTAAAAATTAAACCGATAATCACAAAACCAACTCTAATAAATCAGAATGAGAATTACGTAAGCACGTGTCAAGCACTCAAAAATTTTTCAAAGCTATATTATTATTACTATTATGATTAAGAAAGAACACTAGGAATATTAACATGTTCTAGCCTCAATTCTGTGGCTCAGCTGCTTCTAAGCATGAATCCCATTAACCCTCTAGCCACCCACTCACCCTATTTGTGGAAAGTCAGAAGAGATGAAGTCCTCAAGGATACAGCTGTCTCCTTTTTGTGACCTGCAATAGGGACGCACTGGCCATTTCTGCCAAGCCTCTAGGCAACCTAGAGCCGGGACCCACAACATACTCCCATTCCATTTCATACACACCTTCAAGCTTCAAGCCCTGGATTTCCAGCCAGACAAATAGGAACTTCCTGCATACAGCACGATTTTACCTCCCCTTCCTCACCTCGGTTTCTTCCAGCAAGGCACAGCTTTCCAAGCCCTGTTCCAGGAAAAGTCCCCACCCACCAATGCACACAGAGAGCTAAGACTCCTAATTACCTGCCAAGGTCAAAGTCTCAGGTTCATTCAACCAATTACTTAAGTGTGTTACTATGCTTCCTGCATTACTATCCAAATACCTATTCCCAGAGATGGTTTCAGAGCTCCTGCCCAGGCTTGTTCTGTGAATCTCTAGAGAGCCATTTAATGGCCCCTATAGCCTATAAGATAAATTTAAATCTACTTAGCAAAAAATAAAAGTCCTCCCCTTTCTTCAATTCCCACAGCACCTTTCATGCTACCCATTCCAAACACAGCTTCAAGAATAAACGTTCAAATGTTCCCTGTCTCCATTTGCCTCACTGATTGACTCTTGCTTGTCCTTCTTCCACTTGGGCAACTCCTACTTAGCCCAAAGAGTCTCTTCCAACACCCCTCCCTCTGCGCTGGCCTCCCTGAAATCAACCCTGCTCAGGGCAGAGCAGCCAAAACACACCCGGAGAACAGCGTGCGCACACACAGATTAGCACTCCTCAAGGAAAGGGACCCTGTCCTCATGTTTGTACTCCCAAGGCCAGCCAGCCCTTGGTTCACAGTAGGTGGGCTCCAGAACTTATGTGCTTCCTACACTGCTCTTCTTTCTGTGCAAAAATAGCCATGTGTTCCATCCTCTGGATTTACCCTATCACCTGGCATCTTCAATACCCCTGTCCATTTTCCATTAAATGCAGCAAAGTTCTGGGCTAAGGGGGCTTCCCAGTCCCTGTGAGGTACTGCACCCTTGGCCAAAAACCCACCATCATTCCAGCATCTTAAACCGTAGTTCTGAAACCAAATCCTACCGGACTCTTTCCTGGTTCCCCATTAATCCATGCCAAGTTCCAGACCAGGATAAAGTCACATATTAACACCAACAGTCAAAGTTCTGGGTTGTAATTTTGAGCACATTTCTAATTAGCCGAGTGACCTTGGGCAAGAGTTACAATGGAGATGAAAGTATCACGAGGCCCAATTCTCAGGGGATTTTTGAGATTCAAATGGAAAATATGATGAGAAAGTGTTTTCTAAAGTGCAAAGCATTGTATATTCACACAGGGTATGATTAACAAATTTCATCAAATCTAAACCATTGACTGTAAGATGTACCATCATCAACTTAGAATGAAAAATTGCTCAACTATGACACATCTGTGATTATAAGACAGCCCAATTTCAGTGATATTAAATCTGAAACAGTGTGTCTTAGAACTGATGAAATGAACTTATTTGTCTCCAAAATATAGGAGCATACTGTAAAATCTTCGTATTTGCCAATGGCGCATAATAGGTAGTCATACATGTCAAGTAAATGAGTGAACACCCAATGATATTATTTATACACCAAATTATTGCCTCTCTCACTAGAAATGAGCAGAAGGCTTCCCCTCTCAATCATGCCCCAGTCTGCCCCACACACTCAGATGAAGACTTTAAGTCATACACAAACTCCCAAGCCTGGCATTTTTAAGACTCTTCATAATCAAGCCTCTTTTCCCACCAACCATTGGCTGAAACTGTCTCCCTCTCCCAGACCAATGACCTCTCCACCAGAATGCCACCTCAGGGGTCTCTTATCAGTCCTAGCCACATTAACCAGCTCAGCTTCTCCTGCCTTGGCCCATCCCTGAAGCCAGCTCTAGGCTAGCCAGGTGCTTACAGGGAGCATGACCCTGGGGAACTGCCTGACCCAAAGGTCCCAGGTCTGGAAGACCACAGACAGCTAGTCCCAACTACTTATCTCCCATCTAGAGTCTACATTCCAGAAGGTAAAGGCCTGGGGTTGGAGTTGAGGGACTGTTTTGCAAAGATTAAATGCAAGACACACACTCATCCTTTTAATAGTCCCCAATGCTGGCAAGAATGCTGGAGAAGAAATGCTGGTCAAGGGGTAGAGTGAACCCTATTGGAAATTCTGGCCCCCTACCATCCACCAGTATTCACTGTAGCACCCACCTTCTCTGGCCTTTGTTTTTGTTTCCCTGTACGTTAGAGTGAGGGAGTGCAAGGATTGGGGGGGGAGGGCGGGGGTAGTTAGTTGCTTCCCTTCCTCCCACTTAAAGGTTTTGTTAAAAAGCACAAGATCCGGGAAAGGTAAGCCATTAAGTCACTAACACCTTAGTGAGAATAAGTTTTATTGGGAGGCAGGCGATTTAGAAAAGTGGGTGGAGGTGGAAAGAGAAAACTAATTAGGGGAAAAAATAAGTCCAATATTAGGAAAGTAACTCAGAGATGACCCTTAATTCTTGCATTGTGTGTTGAGGGCTGAGTGGATCCCTGGGAAGGGCAGGGAAGCCAGAAAGATCTTTCTGGTCCCCCTAGCACCAAAAAGTTGCAAAGACACTGCTCTGTCTGTGTACCTAGGGACATTCCACTGATTATCTCATCTCATATACGCCCTCCCTCCAACCCCATGCTCCCAACACAGGAACACTTAGTTTCATCTCCAGTCTCCACATTTTATTTAGTATTCTCTGGTCTATAGCTCCACCCCACCCCAACCGCTCTCACCCCCGCACAGATGGCTTCCCTCAATGTCCCTGGCTGGCTTTAGAAAACTCCCATCCTTCAAAAGGCCCTGATCAAGTGCGGACCCTGCCCCCATCTCTGTGTCCTGTCCTGAGACCAGGAAATCAAACTCCTTTTCCTGATCCCATTAAAACGTTATCCATTCCTTTTCCTCAGCACCCAGCACTTTCTATCTTGGGTCAGGTTTGGCTCCTCGGTGGTCTGAGCGCTCCCTGAGGGCAGGAACTAGGCCTTACCTGCCTGTCTGAACCAACAACCCAGCACAGGGCCTGGCACACAGTGGGAGCTGGAGAAATACTTGGAGAAAGGAAATTAGAAATCGGGAGCCATTTATTTTAATTGCAGCTAGACTGACTTCCAGGGAAGCCTTCCTTCTCTCTGGACCTCAGTTGTCCCAACTGTAAAATGGGGGTTTTGGATGACTGGGTTCCTAGGCCCCTTCCACAGTGACAACTAGGATTCCGCGAAAGCTCTAGGCAGCTGGGCGTGGCCCCGCCCCCTGAGGGACCCAGAAAAGCCCAGTTAGGGGGCACGCAGAGAAGGGCTCCAACCCCGCCCAGCCCTCGGTCTGGGCTTCCCGAAAAACTCGGGGTCTCCCTTCCAAGGCGTGCACCCTGTGATTGCGCCGCGGCCGGCACTTCCGCACCGCGGGCCGTTCGGCCCGGGCAGAGCGCGCACTCCACACCCTGCGCTCGCGCTCCTGCAACCCCAGAGGCGCTCGCGCCGGGGAGGCTGGGGGTTACCGAAGCACCCGCGGGCGGAGGGTGGGGGGAAGGAAGGAGGATTTGCAACAATACCTCTGGGAGGAGGCAGCCGGGGCAGCGGCGGCAGCGGCAGCGGCTGGAGGCGGAGGCAAAAGCGTAGGAGGAGGTACCCGGGCACTCCCCCTCCCATTGTCCCCAGCCCTGGACAGGCCCGGCCCCGCGCCCCGCACTGTGCCCCGTGCCCCGGGCGTGCAACCAGCCCTTACCTTGCAGCACCCGGCTGTCCCCCTGCTCGCTAAAGCTACTTATCCCGGGAAAGCTCGCGAGGGGCCCGGGAGCGAACCCACAGACAAAAAGTGAAACTTCGGCAAGGCTGGAGCGGCAGCTGGTTGGTGCCTTTCCCCCTCCTTCCTCCCCACCGTCCCCACCCCCTCCCCTTGGTCTCCCGTGCGGTGCCCTGAGAGCTGGAGGCTGACGTCAGGGGCCTGAATTCCTGACTTTGCCTGCACGCATTTGTCCATGTAAGGTATGGGAAGGCGGGTGCCCGTGGAGCCGCCGCGCAGTGCTCGCCTGGTGGGGGAGGGGGCGCCTGCCGCGGGCAGTGGCTTTGCCAAAAGGTGGGCGCACAGCGGACATTTTATTTCCTGGGGAGAAGAGAAGGGGACGCAGGGATGCAAGGAGCTTTCAAAGGAGGAAGAGAAAGAAGGAGGTGTGGAGGTTTTGCCTGCCCTGGAGGAAGAGGAAGGAGGCGTAGGAGGAGGAAGCGGTTGAGTCCAGGAGCTGTTTAAGAAATGGGAGAACCTGCATCTGCTCTTAAAGGCGCCAAGTTAGTCCTCTATATCTGAGCTCCAGAAATACTGTCCTGAAAACAACTCGCTCCTGAGCCTCTCTCTGTATTCCCAAGAGGACACAAAACGTACTGGATGTCGGAGCTGGCAAAGACCAACTTCCCATCCGCCCACTTCACATAGCAGAAAAGTGAAGGTCTCGGAAGAGAGTTGACTTGTACAGGGTCGCACACGACACAATCCGGGCATTGGACCTGGGTGCTCAGATTCCCAATCCGAGTTCCCCTGGCCAGTAAGGGCCCTGTCTCCCTCCTTCCAGGGCAGTGAACCAGGTTAGATGTCAGCGGGCCAAGGCCACAAAGACCACCCAGTGAAGAGAGTCAGTTCCTGGAAGGTCTGACTGATAACCCTGAATAGCAAGCAGACTCCTCGATTGCTTGAGGGTTACTTCCTCTAACCTGTCCCCAAATAAAGGAACCCCTGGAATTTAACGTTTATTTCACAGCAGGGTCCTGAAGCCCAGAAACCTTACACTGTGCTTATATTTGCAAAAAGAAATCAGCAAACTGGGTGAACTGGTTTGAATAAAGGCAAGCCCATTCTTGGAAAGTTAGAGTTGGATTTTTTTCCTCTGCCATTTGTAAATGTGAGCAACCATGAAAACCATCACTGTTTACTATGTCGAGGCAATATAATGTGCAGCAGCCATTGCCTGGAAGGCGTTCCAGGGGTGGGGACTTTGTTTCTTCATGTTTCTATTCCACTGATACCTACAATAATAATCCCTCACTTCAGCACATCATCAAAGCCCTTCCTCAGTGTTAGACTGGACAAAATATAGTCCCTCTTTTGCATCTGAGAATTCGCATTTGAGAAAAAAGGCAAAGTGACTCGCCCAACACAAAAGCATGTGAACTCACTTCCAACACACCCAAGTCACCTGACTAATCCCATGAAGTTTCCACCCAACCAGGAAGCCCTGACCTCCAACAGGACTCATGGTATTTTGCTATGTATAATGCACACCCACATTTTTGGCCCAAACTATCAGGAAAACAACATTTTTTAATTCTTAATTCAATTTTTATTTATATATAAAACCGATTATCATATTCCAGGGTATTATTTTGTATACTGAGATCCTTATTGCTTTCTAGAGTTACACTTCTAACACATAACCTTAAGTAAAAGAATTAAAAACATTTGTATAGATACAGAATTACTACTACCCATGTATAATGTGCATCCTCACTTTACACTCAAAACATTTGGGCAAAAAAAGTGCGTAATACATGGCAAAAAAATGGTAATTCCCATTCATGAATGTTGAGAGTACACTGTGAGTTGCCTATTCGTGAAACTTCCAAAGCCTAGTTCTTCTGGGATTTGGTGGGATATTTTGACCAATAATTAAATAAATAAATGTAGAAACATACATTATTGTACTTAACATTTATTTAATAACTTCCTTATATGAGGTCTTTAAATTTCTGTGTTCAAATTGCTTACTCCCTCTTCCTTTCAAATTCTCATTTACACATAGAAAAATATGAAGAAAGTAGCAGAGAAATACAATCAAGAGTACCAATTCCATGCAATAATGAAATATTTTTCTCTTTCCAACTAACAGTTTAAAATAGGAAAAAAAATGAACTCATAAAAGAGATTTTTGTTGTGGGGCTTTAAAAAGATCAGATCCTATTCCAATACAATTCATTTACTCTACCTTCAACATTTCAGCAAACCCATATTCTGAGGGCTACTGTTTAATATAAAAAACACCTGATATCACACAAAGTAAGAATGGATTCACCCAATCCTCATCAGATATAAAAGGAGTTGACCAGCATTTCTTTTCCTTTCTCCCATTAACCCACTCATAAAGAATAATGGGGTTCTAATGAGGATTAATAAGATTTAATAAGGTATAATTAGAATCATTCATTTCCTCCATCATATGTATTATAAGAGCGCTGTGTTGGATTCAGAAATACTACTATTTATGTTGAAACTGTTATATGGCTGTGTTGGGGAAGATCACTGTGTTTCTCCTCCTAAAATATTTATGAATTGTTCAGGTTAGCATAAGCATTATATAAAGTTAATCACAAAAGATGATTTCCACTCATGGGGCACTCACCAGGAGTATAAGAGGTAAAGTAAATTGGATGCTTGGCAAACTGCATGCAGTGTTGTCATCAGTGCAAACTCAAATCAAAGGCCTCATTGTCATTTGCTGGTCTGGTTTCTTTTGTATTCTCACTTTTCTCAACATCCTTATTAAAACCCGCTGTGTGCAGGGGGTTGGGAAAGAGGAGAAGGGTGTATAAATTTGCAGACTCGGTGCTAAAGAAATATGGATTTATAAATTTAGAGACTAAAAGAAGCACAGAATTTCAGGCAGGGCAGAGGTGGTGTGATCCAAGGATTGCACCCTGGCGGCCTACAGAAGCATTCCAGTTGGTCCAGTTATGGCACCCAGAACTTGGAGGAAGACCTGGCTATAGTCCTGCCATTTCCTTGTATCCAGTATGGTCCCCTGCCCAGAGGCCTTTGTATCTCTCATGTCAGCCTTTCCTTTGTGCTTATGATATGCCAAGCTATATTCTAATGATTCCTCATATACTTTTCATTGGACCCTCACAAAGCCCTTCTGAGGATGGCATTATCATTTCCTCTATTTTGCCCATGAGTAAAGTAAAGCCCAGACAGGTTAAGTAGCTTGCTCTTAAGACAGCCAGTACAGGGGTAAGCTGACATTCCCCCTGAACCCAGGCAGCCTGGCACTTGGCTCTCTCACTGCTGAGTGACCACCTGGTCTCAGTTGGAATACTCCCATGTGCAGAACTCATAACATCCAAACAGCCGACCAAGAGGAAGAATTATGAAGAGGCCACCAGAGAAATAGTAAGGACAGGAGGGGCATAGAAGATAAACACCAACCTGATGTTGCCTTTCCACAGCCTCACACCCATCAAGCCAAACTCTTTATTGTGGTTTGCACAGCTTTTCAGACATTTCTGCTGGTCCTTCACATGCACTCATCCTCCAGCCAATTGAAGTTCTAGTGGTTTCCCAAACACATGTCACCTGTTCATGCTTATTTGCCTTTACACAGGTTCTTTCTTCCAGGAACTCTCTTCCTTCCCCTTCCACCTAGCAACTCTTACCTAATCTCTTCAGACTCCCCTTAAATATTGCCTCCTTTGCAGGGACTTCTAGCCCTTACCACCACCTCCAGTGGACACATTACCCCTACAGAGTGCTCCTGTTCCTCTTCTCACCTTAATCCATATGACTCTAAATAGTGCCATTGGCCATCTTGTCTTTTTCTGCTACTGAACTGAGAATCTAATTCATCTCTGAGTTCTAAACACATTGAGTGTTTGCCTTTGTCATTGTAAGTATTCAACTGTTTCCCCTTCTCTTTCTTTTTCTTCTTCTTCCTCCTCTTCCTTCTCCTCCTCCTACTCCTCCTCTTTCTTCTTCAATTCTACCACTACTTCTCCTCCTTCTTTGCATTAAAGGCAGAGGAAGATGCACAAGATATAGAGCCTGGGTATTTAAATAAAATCACATAACTTCTTTAAGAGATGAGGCCTGGATGTAAGAAGACCAGTGGGAAGAGAGAAGAAGAATCAGAGGAGCCCAACCATTTGGAATTAGAACCAGGACTGGTATGAGGAGGCAAAGCAGAGGAAGTTTTGTAATCTTTTCCTTCCCCTAAAGCTGCTGTGTGACTGCATGGCAAGTCACCTCCTCTCTGGTCTCAGTTTCTTTATCCATACAATTAGGTTTTCAGATCTGATGTTCTCCAACATTCTTCCAGCTCTTCGATTTGGTGCTACTTTCAACCCATTGACCAACTTCATCTTCCCAAATGTTAGCATGCCACATTGTGCTGTATTCTAGGCCTTCTCACATTTATATTTTAGGAATTAAGGATATAATTCTGCTTTATGAGTAAATATGGAGTTAAAGCACTGATTGTTTTCAGCTTTAATTAAATTATTTTAAAAAATACCCAAGGTCATTTTTCCAGGAAGAACTAAACGCAAGTGGCAGTTCTAATATTTGATATACCCAGCTCTATAGCTGAACTTATTTCTCTTCCCAAGACTATTATACTAGCATGTGATGCAAACATGACCTTTTGTAAGCATCAGCCTTTTGTAAAGAAATGAGAACTTGATATGGTAAACAGTAGTGGTAGACTTTCAGTAAATGCCTCATTAAAGATAAGCAGTTTACAAAAGGTTTGTTTACTCTCTGTTCTGTACACCTCATTGTACCATGGGAAAAAGAATGATCTCAATGTATACAAGACAATACATCTTCACAGTTCCCAAATGAATATGTTCTCCCTTTTTTGAGTATTAAGTTTTTTTCTTGAGGGGAAAATGGTGTCACTTTATTGGTTTAGAGAACTCAAGCCAATGTGAACAGATGATGACTTGTACATACTTTGGGGGTTCTGCACAATTTTACACAGTTTTCAAACCCAGTTTTCAGCCAGTGGCTCTAGAGTAAATCACTCTTTGCATTTTGCCACATCACAGAATCTGACTATCTGAATGTATTTAGGCCTATCCCAACTCAGCCACCTGTA